TGGATAGTCCAAACTGCATAACTAGCCACTCAATTAAAAAGCGATAACGAACTGTTATTTTGTTGATAGCTCTGCTATCTATACACATCCGATAACTCCCATCTTTTTTTGGCACTAGGAGTGCGGGGACTGCACACGGGTTGAGGCTCTCTCTGATGTACCCCTTCTGCACCAACTCCTCTACTTGTCTCCTCAACTCCTCATGTTCCACTGGGTTCATTCGATAATGTGGGCGATTAGGCAATGACGCGCCCGGTACCAAATCAATGTGATGTTGCATATCCCGCAAAGGCGGAAGACCCTGTGGAAGGTCATCCAGAAACACATCATGAAACTCAGACACCAAGGCGACAGCTTTGGGGTGAAGACCCGTCCCCTCGGCTGCCATAGGAACTGTCGACACTCCTGTCGCCTCAGTTCCCACTAACAACAGTACAACACCTTCTGCAAGCATCTCACGCACAAACAAAGATCGGAAAAGTAGATTACTACTGTCTGCATCCATCGGCACCACATCACACCAAACACTATCACGATACACACTGCCAATAGAAAAAGATACCAACACACGACTAGTAATACGAATTTCATTAGCTCGTCTCAACCATGCTAGGCTATAAAGAGCAGGATGAGGTTCGGTGCTTAACTGCAGCTTCTGCACGGCCGCTTCAGATATCACATTTTTGCAACTGCTCGAATCAATGATGAACCTACACACCTTTCCTCCAATGGTACACGTAGATAGAAAAATATTGTTTCGCTGCAGGTCCTCAGACGACCCCTTAGGCGTAAGGCACGCCCGTCGGACCACCAAAAGAGGCCCCGCGTCACCCGTATGCACAATTTTAGCCTCTTCTTCTTCATTCTCCACATGAACAGGATCGTTAACATCGGCTTGTGTTGTCCCTCCAATGAACAAACCTAGCCGTGGCTGCCCATGAGATGGACAGTCCTTCCTCAGATGACCAAAATCACCACAACCAAAATACTGACTTCCACACCCTCGTCCACCAGGAGGAGCCCAGCCACCCGGATTAGTGGTTGGAGGAACCACTGGCCGAGTGTTCCGATCAACGCCCCGACCCCCAAATGTAAAGGATTGGGACGGACCAAATGTGGGATTTGGGGCGAATTGTCGACCCCCACCTCCAGATGGACCACCAGAAATGCCTACTACAGAACGACGTTGTTGATTTTCAGCCTGAAGTGCTCACTGGTGAGCCTCAGAAACAGATACCGGCGAGAACATATTTAGGACGTCTTGCAAATTCAATCGTAGTCCACCAATATAGCGCGCTACCAACTGGTCTTTTGATTCTCCCACATCATTTCGGGCTATCAGTTGGTAAAACTCTATGGAATAAGCATCTAAAGATCGATTGCCTTGTCTCAAATTCTGTAAGCGCTGATACAAAGTCCTGGAATAATTAAAGGGAAGAAACGCTGCCTTCAATTGTTTCTTCATTTTTTCCCACGACTGGATTTTCGCCTTACCCTGATGGATCCGGTTTTGCTTCAGTTGCTGCCACCACGCAGCAGCACGACCACGCAGACGGATCGCCACCAAAGGTACCCTTTTATTGTCGGGCACTTCTTTGTAATCCAAGATCTCCTCTACTGTCGCCAGCCAATCGAGGAATTCATCTGCCTCAATTCCACCGTGAAATTCAGGTATATCAACTTTGAATCCGGATTCCCATCGCTAAAACGCGTCCTACTGTTGCACACGAGGCTGTTGAACACGATCGCCACGACCCTCTGACAAGGTCTCCTCATCCAACCTCTCCCCTGATTCAGATCCACCTCCACCATCACTCACTGGGGCACGACGTGGAGGAGCATGAGGTGTTTCGTTCTGCACAACCTCTGCCGCCCACGTCATGAATTGATCAAATCAGATTGTCAACGCCTCAACTTGATTACGCAAATCTGCAACTTCATCAATCTGGCCACCACGTCCTCTCCCACGCACCATGCTCTGATACCAAAATGATGTAGATTGAATCTACAAACACACGACAACAATAACCAAACGGATTGAATTCAGAAACAAACTTTTATTATTTCGTGAACAACCAAGAAAACCCTAGGAGGCGTCTTGCAGCGTCTTAAATATAAAAGAAAAGATAACCTACTGGACCAGCAGTCCCAAAATGGGTTGGGCTACAAAATGGAAATAACAAATGCTGAAAATAAATAACACAAAAACTTAATATGCTCTTTTGACACACTAAACGACTTCAAATGCCCAAAAACCCTCGTACATCACAGCAAAGCGGTGAGTTCAATCCGAAACGCTCGCTACCTTTCCGAAATGGGGTTATGGGCTCAAAACGGACACCAAATGCAAAAATTACATCAATTTCTTTGAAAGCCGACCATCCAACCATTCCATGTATGGCAATGCCTGTTCCTCCACATAAACCTCATCAGTTAAGCACAAAATAATATATATCAACCAAATATGGAGCTTGCAATTTAGAAATTGGAATTCTAAAACAATAATAATTTTAAATGAACTTTCTTTGGCTTACAATGCCTACAATGAAAAATATTCCCAAATATTAAAATGAATAACTGAAGGACATAAGCAGCTAAATTCTTTCTTGTAATCTTTCGAATAAATTTATACAATTAATTTGACCAAAATAATTTCAATAGAAGAATTATATAATTATGAACATAAAATATGGTAGGACTAAATGATCCAAAGTTAACGAGCACACTCGTATGACATGTTGTTAGTCAACTCCTTTGTAAAACCTTAAAAGGAAGCTGAAACATGTTAGTTATTTTTCTCTCTTTAGGCTATCTTAAAAAAAAAAAAAAAAAAAAAAAAGGTTAAACCCTAACCTTATGGATCCCCATCACCCCTACCCTGGAGTATCGTGAGGGAGGTAAATCGCAGGATATGCCTCCAAGGATAAAGGGTGGAAGGCTGCTTGTACACTTGCACTTACCCAAGAGCCAAATTCATATTGCTTCTAGTAAATGAAGCCCATGCCTTGGCTTAAAAAAAAAATAATAATAATAAATCTTTGTCTATTTTAAAACCACCAGCAGTCTGATACGTATGTATGGGGATTATCAATTTATTCAGTCATATGGTGATCTTCTTA